ACCAAGGGGTGGGTACATAGAGGCTCATAGACAACCTCGTGCTAGAATTACCTGTAATCTGTTCTTCGTTGACAATCAATACAATCAAAAATAGGATGTGGGTATTATCTCTTCGAGAGTGCCCGGACCTCGGTTAAACCTCATGTCTCTTGTTACCATCGTACTTAGGTTATCAAATCAGGACACCCTACCCAAGACTCATCAGAATCGACTCTGTCACCCTGGCTTGGCAGACGTGCTCCACGCCAAGAGCTGATCCGCCGGGCCAAGAGGCTGAATGCCATAACCCCATGCTGTCATGACCTTGTGCCAATAGATGGCGAGAAAGGGCATGCCACCTTCAAGTGATCCATCGTTTCCCGGCTTTGTTCGCATAGCGGGCAAGAGGAGGCTTCGTGAGGTAGACCACGATGAGCCAAACGATCGGATATCCAGCATCTATTCTACGTGCCAGCCAGGAGAAAACCTTGCAGTTAAGAGGAGCTCGCGACTACCATGTGAACGTTGCTGCGAGATCGTCCCAACTTGGCCGCAATTGGCCGCATATGCCGATTGCGTAGAGAAAACACCAGATGGCTCCCAGGCCCAAAGCACACCCTGTCCTCGGCCCCTTTCCGAAGCAGAACTTGCGCTGTTGACTCCCATAACCTTAGATATTCCGATAGCAATTCTGCTGTGAGGTTCGGGCCAACATCCCCTGACCAGCTTCCCGCAAGTGCCTCCTGCACCGTGTGTGTACTTCTGGCTGGCACTGCAGAATAGATGACCATGATGAACCGTGCGTGTCCTCTGGCTGGACAACATTTTCACATGTCGATGATTTTTAGCTAGAACCAAATTTGTATTTCTTTTTTGTTTTGTTGGAAATAAAACAATTTGATCGAAGAGCAACGTTCAGCTGTGTTTAAAGCAATGCAAATTCGCTAATAATTGGAAACACATTTTTCGTTGTATCATGGAAAACACTGTTACATAACCGGAAACACTAACGCCCACACGTGTATGCGTTTGCATCTCGCCCATACGCATGGATCAGCGTCGATTTGAGTTTATACGAATCTTGGCATTGCCAGATTTTTTATGCCATGTAGGATTGGGCTGGTGTGGGGGCATTCATCCGATAGCCCACATGTTCGTTTCCATACGTGGAGGTGTTGGTGTGTGGGCGTTTAGCAGTTTGCTCACACACCAGTTTTTAACGCACGCAGAGGGGCTGATGTGTGGGCGTTTATCAGTTCGCCCACACGCCCGTCTCCTCTCCCACACCCAAACCTATCAGTTTCCATGTGTTTTTCAAGGTACATGGCAACTGCCCTAGTAAGCTTGTAAGCAGATGGCAACTCTCTCTTTCCCCGAACATGTTTTTTTGCCATGTATTTTTGTAGTGCTACATGACAACTGCCTAGTGTTTAGTAGATGTCAACTCCTAAAGATACCACCGCGCCCACACGCCTGTCTCCTCTCCCACACCCAAAGCTGTCAGTTGCCATGTGTTTTGCAGGGTACTCCCTCCGGTCCTTTTTACTCTGCATATTAGGTTTGTCTGAAGTCAATCTCATCCAACTTTGACCAAGTTTATATAAAAAATTATTGACATTTACATAACAACACCAACATCATTAGATTCATCTCGGAATATATTTTCATATTATATTTATTAGATATTATAGATGCTAATAATTTCTAATATAAATTTGGTCAAACTTAACTAAGTTTGACTTTTGGCAAATCCAATGTACAGAGTAAAAAGGACCGGAGAGAGTACATGGCAACTGCCACTAGTGTGCTTGTAAGCAGATGGCAAATCTCTCTTTACCCGAACATGTTATTTTGCCATGTCTTTTTGTAGTGCTATATGGTAATTGCCTATTGTTAGTAGGTGGTAACTCCTACAGTTTTCAAATCATGGCAACTGTAGTAGACACGCGGTAACAACCATGGCAACAACTGTAATTTTTTAAAAATGGCATCTGGCACTTGACCTGATATGGAAACTGCAGTTGAGCAACCATGGCAGTTGTAGTTTTCCGACATGGCAACTGTAGTTCAGCAACATGACAATTGTAGTTAAACGAACATGGAAGAGGGTCCGGGACCATGGCGGGGACACGCGGTGACTGTCACGCGGGGCATGCGGGACCATGAGGTAGGAGGCCTGACGTATGGGCGTGTGGACGTTATCTATTTCGCCCACACGTAGACGTGTGAGAGGGACCACAAAGAAAAAAAGATGTGTGGACATTACTTGTTTTGCCCACACGTAGATGTGTGGGCTGGTTCCCTTAAACACCATATAAAACATGTGGCCAGACCCCTTAACGCCCACACGTGTGGCTACATTACACACAAAATTTTGATCAATAGAAGCAAACGTTGGAAACATTTTTGTCAAATAAACTTTCCTAAAAATAAGAGAAAATAAATCTGATAACAATGTTATCCTCACGTGGTTTTAGATTGGATTTAATCTTCGGAAGCAATCCGAAATCTGGGGAATCCTGTTTATATACAAACTTAATACGACAGCAGAGGCGCACGTTTTGAGGGAGGTCAAATCAACGAGAGAATTGCTATGCCTACGATTCTGTTTGTATGATTTATTTATTTTTTTGCATGCTAATACGTGTCTCATTTATATCATAAGGATCATACAAGCCACGTACATACCGACCTGACAAAACTGAAAAGACAGCAGAACACTAGCCTTTGCACACAGGAACACCAGCCAGAAGTAAAATTACAAACAAGACTGAAGAATTCTCTGAGCTTGACATCAACGCCCGTCACCTGCCTCTGGCACCACCATAGCAGCCACCAAAGGAGAAAATGACGGATCACCTCCACACCCGAGCTCGACGCGGCTCCATCGCTGATATGCAGCTTTGCGGACCTCCAAGGTGGCTCGCCAATAAAGGCGAAGCCATTGCCGTTGAACGAATCAGACCAGGGCAACACCCCGGACACGCCATCAAACTCCAGATCCGGCACCCCCGCGCAACTAAGACGTTGGAGGAGGAAACCACGAACCACGAACCCAGATCCATCATCTTCCAGATGTCGTCGATGCAGACCACAATCTGCATCCGCTCCTGGACTGCCTCCCAAGCTCCACGGCGGCGCTGGAGCAAACGCCGGCGCAACGGCGGAGCCCGAGGACACAGGTCCACCACGAGGATGCCACCGCCACCGCACCATCCTTGCTTGAACAGTCTGGTTTCTAAATCCACACAGGTCCACCAAAAGCGGATCGCCTCCTTGGAGAAGGATCTGAAGATTTATTAGTCGGCGCCGCCATCAACACCGCCGAAGCCATGACGATGAGCAACCCAAAATCCTAAGAAACTAATGCCTAAAACAATTCACACGCGTGGATCCGGCGACTCCCCTCACCACCGACGACCGAGGTCGTCAGCGGAGGGGAGCCGCCGGAGGACGGCGGCGGAGGAAGACGCCCTGGCAGCGGCAGGAGGTGAGATCGCCTTTCTTTCTTCCAGGGGAAGAAAGAAAGCAACCTTGTATGATTTAAGTTCGACACTGATTAATTAACAGTTGCTCATCTTATCCCTTCGTATGAGTCACAGCCATTGATAACTGTATCATACAAGCTTCGTATGTGAATTGGTCGTACGCACAGTTATTTCGAATCACCGAACCAAACTCCTCCAATCCAATGGTCGTGGCCCTGTGGGCTGGTCTTACCATCGTACACATATCGGATGGGATTTCATTGCATGCAATAGTAATTTCACTAAGATAGCACCATCTTTTTTACACGTGCGGCACCAGGTCCCATTCTTTGATCATATGCCAGGATTACTAATGTCCAGGCCAGCAAGAGAACAACGAAGAGGTGTCTTCATTTTGCTGCCTACAAAAGGAACGAAACCTTTTTTTTATCCTCGGTAAAAGTGAAATTCCATATACAAGTGATCGAGTAAGCGACATCCACCATTTTAACAAAGTGCCAGTGTTTTAAAGGTGAAGTGACTATGTGCACATGGTGAAACTGCGACCGAAATAAGAAAATCAATCAATATATTTGCGATGAGTCGACTATGATGTAATTACTCATCGACGCGATGAACTGGTTGCAGTAATCTCTGAGGTTCGAGCATTGGAGATCGCTGACAGGCTCTAGCGTGCTTAGTGCATCTTCTTCCAAGTCGATTAATCCGGCTAGCAGATTCTCGCACATGGCCTTCATCCTGCCTAGACCGAACCAACACGCCTTGTTAGACTGTATTTACATGTGTATATTGTAACATTGTATACCATCTCATTATATATATATATATGTGATAGGCCACCCCTAGAGGGTTGTGCCGGTTCCCCCCAAAGCCTATTGTCTTACATGGTATCACGCTAGGTTACGTCCGCTTCCGCCTAAAAACCCTAAACCGCCGCCGCCGCCGCCGCCGCCGCCGCTGCCGCCGCCGCGCCCGCCGCCGCCGTCGCCCGACTGCTATGACGTCCGCCGCTGCGTCCGGCTCCACCGCCACCGGTTTTCTGCCGGCCTCCCTCGCGGCACTTCTCTCGAGGCCGCTGGATGCCGCCTCCCTTCAGGCGCCGATCGGGACACGGAGCGTCGGCTCCCTCTTCGCGCTCCCGCCGGCTGCTACTTCGCCCGGGCAGGCGCTTGTGGCCCACACCACCGCCGCCCCGTCAACCGCGGCTGTCGCACCCTCGGCCACTGCGCCGCTGGTGGCGGAGGACGTCGCGCTGGCAGGCTTCGCGGCGTCAACCGCGGCCATCGCGCCCTCTGTCACCGCGTCGGCTGCCCCTCCGACTGTCTCCACGGTGTTCTCACCTCAGCCAGTCTCCTCGATGGGATCGCAGCCGCCGCCGCCGTTTCACTTCGGCCATCTCATCACCATCAAGTTGTCGTCGGACAATTACATCTTCTGGCGCGCGCAGGTTCTTCCGCTTCTTGGGAGTCACTACCTGCTTGGCTATGTCGACAGCTCTCTCCCTTGCCCTCCTGCGCTGGTTGACAGCGTGCATGGTCCGGTCTATAATCCGGCTCACCGTGTCTGGACAGGGCAGGATCAGGCGAACCTCCCCTCCATCCAGGGGTCGCTCTCTCCGGCCGTTGCTGGGCTTGTTGTCTTCGCCAAGATGTCCCACGAGGCATGGACTATTCTTGAGCGCTCGTTTGCGGCACAGTCACAGGCTCGTGTATCTGGGCTCCGTCGCCAACTTGGGGAGTGTCAGAAGCTTGACTCCACCGCCACTGAGTTCTACAACAAAGTCAAGAGTCTCGCCGACACGCTGGCCTCCATTGGACAGCCCCTCACCGACTCCGAGTTCAACTCGTTTATTGTCAATGGTCTTGATGAGGAGTATGACGCCCTAGTCGAGATCATCAATGAGAGGGGCAACTCCACGCCCATGCCAGCACACGAGGTCTTTTCACGCCTCCTGCTTACTGAGCAACGAGTCGAGACGCGCCGATCCAGGGGAAACGGCGCCCTCTTGGCAAACGCCGCCACCAAGGGTGGTCGCTCCTCTACTTCATCCAGGGCTCCTTCGGGGCAGTCACCACCACCCGCCTCGGCCCCTCCTCCTACTGCGACACTACCAGGGGCTGGCGGTCCACGTGTGTGCCAGCTTTATGGTCGCGATGGGCACTGGGCCTCGAAGTGTCACAAGCGCTTCCAGCGGGGTTTTCTTGGTCTTGGCAATGACGGGAAGTATACACGCAACTTTGCTCGTCAGGTCGCCATGGCTGATCGTCCGCCGCCGCAGAAGCCACAGGGACACACTCAGTCCTACTCCATTGATCCCCACTGGTACATGGACTCTGGGGCGACAGAGCACCTGACCAGTGAGATGGGGAAGCTTCACACTCGTGAACCCTACCATGGCTCCGACAAGATCCACACCGCCAATGGAGCAGGTATGCACATCTCTCATATTGGTCAAGCATCACTTCTCACTAGACATGCCAATAGGAGTCTTCAACTTCGCAATGTTCTTCGAGTTCCATCTGTGACACGTAATCTTCTTTCAGTTCCTAAACTCACTCGTGATAATAATGTGCTTTGTGAATTTTATCCTTTTGATCTTTTTATTAAGGATCGGGGCACGAGGGACATTCTTCTTAGTGGGCGGCTCTGCCAAGGTCTCTATCGTCTGGAGCATCCTGGCGTCGCTCGCGTCTTCAGTGGAGTTCGGGTATCTCCGTCACAGTGGCATGCTCGTCTTGGTCACCAGGCCACACCTATTGTCCGGCATGTTTTGCGTCGTCATGAGCTTCCTAGTGTGTCTAGTAATAAAGATGTAGCAGTGTGTGATGCTTGTCGGCAGGGGAAGAGTCATCAACTTCCTTTTTCGGAGTCCAGTCGTGAGGTGAAACATCCTTTAGAACTTGTGTTTTCAGATGTATGGGGTCCTGCTCAGACTTCTGTTAGTGGTCATAATTATTATATCAGTTTTGTTGATGCTTACAGCCGATTTACCTGGCTTTATCTTATCAAACGTAAATCTGATGTGTTTGACATTTTTGTTCAGTTCCAAAAACATGTTGAACGCCTTCTCAAGCACAAAATTGTTCATGTTCAGTCGGACTGGGGTGGCGAGTATCGCAATCTCAACTCCTTCTTTCAGTCGCTTGGGATCACTCACCGTTTAGCATGTCCACATACACATCAGCAGAATGGTTCAGTAGAACGTAAGCATCGTCACATTGTTGAAGCTGGTCTGACTCTTTTGGCCCATGCATCTGTTCCGTTTCGTTTTTGGAGTGATGCCTTCACCACTGCATGTTTTCTCATCAATCGTACTCCCACTCGTGTTTTGAATATGAAGACTCCCATTGAAGTTCTCCTTAATGAACAACCGGATTACACCTTTCTCAAGGTGTTTGGGTGTGCTTGCTGGCCCCATCTCCGTCCATATAACAAGCGTAAGCTCGAGTTTCGTTCCAAGAAGTGTGTTTTTCTTGGTTATAGCTCTCTTCATAAAGGATACAAATGTCTTCATGTTCCCACTAATCGTGTCTACATCTCTCGGGATGTTGTGTTTGATGAGCATGTTTTTCCCTTTGCCAAACTCCCTGTGTCCACTACCGAGCCACCTGTCATGCATTCATCCTCTGTTGCTTCTGACCAATTTGATGATGTTGCATATTCTCCTCTATTGTTGCCTAACCATGGTGCAGGCACTGGTCGTGGGGCTCGTTTGGAGATTCTGGAAGCGCCGTCTTCCTCTTCGTCGCCATCGCCTTCATCCTCGGCACCTTCTGTTGTGCATGAGGAGCACATGGCGCCCCTGCATGGCCTCGGTTTCCGTGCTCATGCATGGCCGATCGACGTCCTGGCCCGGTCGCCTCTGGCTTTTGGGCTGCCTTCGCCATCGTCGCGCCCTGCAACCCCGCCGACTGGGCCGGCCTCCTCGGTCCCCGTCTCGCCCAGGGCGTCGGGGAAGTCATCACCAGGCCTGGCCTCGCCCGCCCCTGCCTCGCCCAGGGTGTCTGGGCCCTTCTCACCAGGGCCGGCCTCTCCTGCTCTCGCCTCGCCAAGGCCGTCTGGGCCGGTGTCACCGGCGCTGGCCTCGCCCACCCTCGGTTCGCCCATGGCCTCTGAGCCCCTGTCGTCGGGCCAGTCTTCGCCATGCAGCCCAGAGTCGTCTGTCCCGAGCTCGCCTGAGGTGATTCCTGCATCTCCAGCGACCGTCACGTCTCCGTCACCTTCGCCTCCGTCGGCTCCTGCTGCTGCTCTACGTCCACATACGCGCAGTCGGAGTGGCATTTTCAGCCTAAGCAACGTCACGATGGCACAGTTGCTTGGTTAGCGGCGTGCATGTCTGCTGCTCTCGCAGATCCATCCTCTGAGCCACGCACGTATCAAGCTGCTATGCGCATTCCTCATTGGAGAGAGGCCATGGAGCAGGAGTATCAAGCGCTTCTTCGCAATCAGACATGGACTCTTGTTCCTCCACAATCACGGGTAAATGTCATTGATTCCAAATGGGTTTTCAAAGTGAAGAGGCATTCTGATGGGTCCATTGAGCGCTATAAGGCTCGTCTGGTTGCTCGTGGTTTTCGACAGCGTTTTGGACTTGACTATGAAGACACCTTCAGTCCAGTGGTCAAGCCTACTACCATCAGACTTCTTCTCTCTCTGGCTGTTACTCGAGGTTGGTTTCTTCGTCAGCTTGATGTTCAAAATGCTTTTCTTCATGGTGTCTTGGCGGAGGAGGTTTACATGCGCCAGCCTCCGGGTTTCTCTGATCCGGATCGCCCTGATCATCTCTGTCGTCTGTCCAAGGCAATTTATGGTCTGAAGCAGGCACCTCGTGCTTGGCATGCTCGTCTTGCAATGGCTCTTCGTGCTCATGGTTTTGCATCATCAACTGCTGACTCCTCATTGTTTCTTCTTCAAAGGCCTGAGGTTACTATGTACTTGTTGGTCTATGTAGATGATATCATTTTGGTCAGCTCTTCTCAGTCGGCTGCTACTGCGCTTGTTCGCTCACTTGGTGCTGATTTTGCGGTCAAGGACCTTGGGAAGCTTCATTACTTTCTTGGTGTGGAGGTTACTTCTCGTGCTGCTGGTCTTGTTATGACGCAGAAGAAGTACTCTCTGGATTTGTTGCAGCGAGCTGGGATGCTTAAGTGCAAACCGACGACTACACCCATGTCTACCACTGATAAGCTCAATGCTGTTGATGGTGTGCTTCTTTCTTCTTCTGATGCGACCGAGTACCGGAGTATTGTTGGTGGGCTCCAGTACTTGACGATCACGCGACCAGACATTTCCTATGCTGTTAACCGAGTCTGCCAGTATCTGCAGTCACCCCGTGACACTCATTGGTCTGCTGTTAAGCGGATTTTGCGCTACATTCGTTTCACGGTGGCTCATGGTTTGCATATTCGGCCGTCTGACTCGGGTTGTCTTTCAGCATATTCTGATGCAGACTGGGCTGGCAATCCGGATGACAGGCGATCCACGGGGGGTTATGCTGTCTTCTTTGGCTCTAACCTGATTGCCTGGAGTGCTCGGAAACAGGCTACTGTCTCGCGTAGCAGTACTGAGGCTGAGTATAAGGCTGTGGCCAATGCCACATCAGAGATTATCTGGGTACAGTCCTTGCTTCAGGAGTTAAGTATACCCCAATCACAGCCTCCTGTTCTTTGGTGTGATAACATCGGTGCTACATACCTTTCTGCAAATCCGGTATTCCATGCCCGAATGAAACACACTGAAGTTGACTATCACTTTGTGCGTGAACGTGTCTCTCAGAAGCAACTACAGATCAAGTTTATTTCTTCCAAGGATCAACTTGCTGACATCTTCACCAAGCCATTGCCTTTGCCACAGTTTGAGACTTGCAGGCGCAATCTTACCCTTCTAGATTCATTAGAAAGTGGCTAAGATTGAGGGAGGGTGTTAGACTGTATTTACATGTGTATATTGTAACGTTGTATACCACCTCATTATATATATATATGTGATAGGTCACCCCTAGAGGGTTGTGCCGGTTCCCCCCAAAGCCTATTGTCTTACACGCCTCAACCAACATATCTTCGGCTATCATCACCTCATCTTGGGCAGCACCATCATGGGTTAGGTCTTGAATAGGAGGCAGCTCGTCGGTGTAGATGAAATGGAGCACAGCCTTGAAAACCGCAACTGTCACGCCATCAACCGGTATGCCGTCGCCATCCTTCATGCCCATCATCATCATTTCACATAGGGTTGGTAACCGTGCGGCGATCACGACGCGGAGCTCGATGTTCTCAACCAGGAACCTTACATCCGACATGTGCTCGCTCACCAGCAACTGCTTCAGGTGCGAGGTAATATTGGACAGTGGCATTGGGGCTCCGGTGCCGACGGTGCTGGTGCTAGTAGTGCTAGTGTAGACCTTCTTGGTGATGGCAACATCGCAACATACGGTAAGGGAGGCATCACGTGCTAGGTGCCATGACTTGGCGGCTTCAACGGTGACGAACTTCGCATATCCCCGGTCTGACTTGGTTGTAAAGGTTTTCTCTGACCATTTTATCAAATGGCGTGACTGGCCACTATGACCATCCAACTTAAAGCCCAATGTCACATTGACACCTTCGGTTCCAAGATCAGTCAACAGCTCAGCATACACGGAGATGTGCCCTTGTGCCTTCTCTGATGATGACGACGGGTATACCTTTATCTTCCAACTGTAACCACCAACCTGGAAAGCTTCTGAACTGATTTCTTTCCCAACTCCATGCCTCCTTTGCACAAAGAGAAAACCGGGAATTTTAAACTCGTGTGTTCCCTCGACAACCTCCAGTGAGTAATACGTGGCCGCATTCATCTGCGGCCGACTGCTGGAGGAAGAAGGAGCATTGGAGCACATGTTATGAGCCATGTTGACGGCTGCTACTTTCTCGACGACCTCGAGTACGGAAGAGTAGCAACTCTCCTTTAGCTCCTTGTAGTCCTCTGTCGCCTTCACGGCTGCGTACACGGCGGGATCTGATGCCATGTACTCGATGCACAAGGCCTCCACCGCCCGACAGCTATGCCGGCCATGGACCTCCATCAGTGTCGACATGACTGACACGACACACATGCTCTCGGACAATATGTTCTCACACATGAGCCTCAGGCTTCCGATATCATACCGATCTGCCGCCACAAGTAGGTCGAGCGCCATAGCCACACGACCACCATCAGCGCTCTTTAATTCGAGCTGATCGGTGTAGATGAAGTGCAGCATGGCCCTGAAAGTGGAGGCACTTATGTCGTGGACCCGCGCGGTGCTCTCTGTCGTGTGCCATCGAAACTGTGCGGCGAAGACCGGTGACCGCATGGAAAGCGCGATCTTGTGCGCATGGATCTCGGTCTGCTCAATGATGAAGGTCACGTCCGGCAACATGCAATGCCTCCGTGACAACTCCAACTTCGTCTGGGGCTCCCCCTCCCCCTGAATCATAACAAGCTTGCCAAGATCTCTGGAGATCGTGGGCGGCGACACCGTGGAGATCTGGTCTGCATTTTTGGGTATGTCGGTGTCCTCCCAGAGGACACGCACCTTGCAGTAGACGTCGAGACGGTGCAAGCCACGGAGCGTGTCGGGGAGAGGCAGCTCCCAACGTCTACAAGTAGCCATGGATGATAAGGAGGGTCAAGCGGGGAAGACGTTGATGTAGTCGCTCCACCCCTCGGCGATCCTCCATCTGTCCTCCGGGCTTTGGATCCAGAGGGTGGCCATGGCGACGACGTCCTTGACGGCATCGGTGTGAAGCAGCTCCAGGGAGACGGACACGAGTTGCTGGTCGTCGAAGCGGCAGGAGAGAGCCCAGATGTGGCCGCCGACCTTGAAGTCGGCGGATCTGATGTTCCTCCGCTTGCTGCAACCGCGGATTAGCATATGGAGCGTGCCACAGTGTAGCGTGGCCCCGTACGTCGATGCCGTGGCCGTCGCCATCGACTCCGTCGAAGGCGGCCAGCCTGGCTAATAGCTACTCCATCATCGATCCATGCATGACCCCGATTGACGATCAAGGCGTTTAGTCTGTTTTTCTGGTGTTGATTTGTTTGTCAGCTCGATCCAATATATGTATCTACGACACGACCAGCACTGCACACGTTATATGCAACTCCGAATCGGTCACAAATAGGAGTTCGCATCTGTCTCGGTCGACCGTCACAAATAGGAGTACGCGTCAGCCGGACTCGATCGCCGTTATAATCGAGCGGCTGGATCAGCGGGACACGCTAGCTTGGCACGAGAAAAAAAAACTCAATTAAGAAAATGTTTTCTGTGGATACCAGATTTTATCCGAGTCGGACCAGGAGGACGGGTTTCTGAAAAATCTCCGAAATTTCAGGTTTTTGTGTTGGGGTATTCATGGGAATTTTTATTTTTTATTTTTTGACATCAAAATATATTATATTTAATGAGTGCTATAGGCAAGTTGTTCCTTGTTCTAGTGGTTACAACGAAGGTGAACCCGCAGCTCGTAAGTTCAATACAAGTCCGCCACACCTAACCACTATTCTGCCAATAACTGAGCAAAGCAGTATATATGCAGTATCTGTCATTTTTTTTTCGAAAACGGGAAACACCCCGGCCTCTGCATATCTAAATAGCCAATGCAGTATCTGTCATAGCCGACATCATTTGACTTTGCTTCCAACGTTTGAATTTGAAAATTTTGAACTGTATCAATGTTTATTGGGTCATACGTTTCCAGGTAACCTGTCGGTTACCGGTAATGCAACTTCAAAAAATATCTTGGTCATGAGCATTTCTTTTTAATCTGTATGGTTTTATAGGACATTTCGAACATATATAAGCATAGACGATTTCGCAGATCCCCAATTGCCTTATTTTCAATAACCAATCTGACACAGCTTTCCGGCGATGTTCGTTCGGTGAGATGAGACGTTCCCATTGACTATGAGGCGCATGTGGTCACGTCATCAATCTTAAGATGTTGTGCCGATTCAGTATCTCAGAGGTTCTCATAGTGATAGGGTGTGCATACGTGCATTCATAGAGATGAGTATATGTGTGTGTATCAGTGTTTATGATCCTGTCGTGTTAAAAACAAGCTTCAAAATATTGGATATCGAGTTCATACCGGTTTGGCTTCGACAGATCGGATGTCGGATATCGGATGATATGTAGACATATCGGAGAAAACATGTCTAGTTTTTTTTCAAGATTCTTGTTCAAAACATATATTTTAGTAAAAAAGTGTATGATGTGAATGCTTTAACATAACATTTTTAGATTCCTAGTTTATTAACTTGTTGTTTAAGAAACTATTAAGGAAAGATTCACAAAGTCCCTACTCTGTGATTAGCAACAATACAATATATATGTATTTGTACGAAACATTGTGCATGACTTTGATAATATATAATGAAGTTGTAAATGCGTAATCTTATTTCACTGCTTTCTAAGTTATCATCTACCTATCGTTCTATATCGGTGGACATATCGGGCTAGATATCAGCCATATCGGTTGATATTTTGGTCCATATCGGATGATATGTTTGAAGATAATATTTACAAAATGATATGCTAAGTTTATATCGGTAGAGCTCCAAAAGTGATATATCGGTCTATATATCAGTTGTATCGGCCTAGATTTAAAATCTTGGTTAAAAACAACCAATCTGACATCAACCTAACATACGGGGATACATGTCGCTGATAGTGATGGTGGCTCAGCCGTGCGACACGGCAGTCGGCGGTAGCATGACAGTGGTGCATTGATTTGGTGGGCATTTGCGACACTGGGGAAAGTACTTGGAGAGAGCCAACTCCTCTTCCATTTATGGGATACTAGACCATGATGGCGCGCGTTGCCGCATCCGTCCATTTTTATAATTAATGATAGGTATTTTGGCAAATATATTGAGATACAAACGTAGAAATTAATTTTATCCATATTAGATGAATATGTTGTTGTTTTTTAAGCTTGATTATTTCTCATTGTCAACATCATCATCATATATAATGGAAAGGTAAATAAAGAAAAGGATTTAGCAAGCCTGCATTTGTGATCAAGCAGAGAGTAGAGAATGCCTCCCAAGGAGAAAAATACTTCCCTTCTGCAACAACACACACAATTTCTAAAAAAGTTATAAATGAAAGTTTATAAACAACCAACAAAAAGAAAATACTTAAATTTAGAGAGAAAACCATGCAAAATAAATAAGATGAGCGATGCTCCCGGTTTTATTAACCTTTTCACCAATTTCACAAAGCTACATTCCATGCTAGTAGCAGTGGGACCATGTTGCTTCCTGGTCCTCACCCTTCCTCTTGTACTTTCTTCTTGCCCTCACCACCTCCATCATCTTCCTCAACAGCCATGGCAGCATCACAGCAAGGATTTTCCCTAGGTTGGGAGAGCATGGGGGTAGCAAGGGCGAAGTTGAATAAAATAGTTGACGATGAGACGATACCTATTTTGAACTGCAAAGTGAATACAAAATGTAACTACATGTGAAGTAAATTTAACTAAAGTACATTTAAAGTTACAAATATTAGTACATAGCGTATCTACTTTATATGTGCAAAGTTGATAATTCAGTTTTGGTTTCCACAAAATGGGAATACTCAATTGTGTTGGATATAATAATACATCCAGAGAACTTCAAAAGAAGTTGTAGGAATTGCTCCATGAAGCCATAATTTTCCAACGTTAATAATAAAATAAAGCTTTAACTTACATATTTAAATATTTTTGTGCTTTTCATAGAAACCAGAAGAAAAAAAAATAGAATGTCTAGTGGGAGTGTGATATATGGAAGTCACCTCCATTGCATATGTATTGGTCTTTTTCTTTGTAACAACATGCATCACATGAAAAGGAAGCTATTTCAATCTGTATAGTAAGTTGTTTTTTCATGCAAGTATAGAATAATTTCTGTAAAAATTAACTGAATCGGGCGTACCAATTATTTATTATTTGCTTGGTCGACTACTAAAACTATTAAATCTAATCACACACACCTGAAAAATACGTTAGCACAACAACAGTATAGCCCTCCATCCTTCTTTCCCTGCGTATATATAAGCAAGAAGAGATGATGATTGATGAGCAAATGCATGTTGATTGAGAAATGAGAGAACTCAAGATATATAAGATTCAAGCCTTTGGAAACGAGCATACAATATGTCGACGCTGTAGTGTAGTATCCCGAATTCCCAATCTGCACCACTTCTAGATGGTCTCATAGTCAGTGTTGGTTGGGATCCATCTGCACAGGTGAACATACTTTACCAGCCCTATTGACTATAGCCCCTCAAGGCCTCAACTATGTCAAAGATGTAGCGATTCAGGAGCATGCCCTGTTGGGCAGATCAAAATTATTATACTTAACTCACTGAAACTACAATCAGGTGACCAAAGAGGGTAAGAGCAGAACTTTTTATGTAAGACTATACAGTGAATAAACAGTGACTATGAGGAAATGTAAAGCTTCACATAATAGCATTAAATCAACTAAAGAAACTATTACTGACCTGATGATTAGCAAAATATGAACTATTGGTTTGTATTTGATTCTTAGCCATTGATGCATCACAACATGCTGCACGGACAGAAGCCTTATTATTAAGCATATATTTCGGACTCGGCAATCCACCAGCTCCTAGAATCTGCGGAGTGGCTGCTTGCTCGCTGCAAGATTTTGAACTACAGCTCCGTCCGTTCCTAGAGTGGAGTGACATTGAACGGGCCCTTCGACACTGACCAGAAGATGGAAACAAACTGGGCATGTGAAACTACAAATTAGGGAGGCGATGCAGGGACAGAAGCCTTATTCTTAAGCATGCTGTATGGAGGACGATTATGTCTGGGCAGAGCTTATAACCGGAATAGGAGCGCCAGGGCACGGGAAGTATGTGACAAGAGTCATGGAGGAGCAGAGCAGTTCAGATGTTTCGCTCAGAGCCAAAGACATCGAAAATAGAAGCGCGTGTGGTGGGATGAAGGTGCCGCTGTGAGGCGAGGAGGACAGGGGAGGGAAGAAAGTAGCGAAAGACATGCTATGGCTCCTCGCGGCGCAGTGGTGCCAGAGATACTCGTTGTAACGGCGGCGACGCACCTCGAGGTCAGGAGGGAGGAGCGTGGGGTGATCCGTCTAGTGGACTGAGTTGAGTTGAGGGCGACACCCACAAACGGCCCATTCGTAGTCCCACGCCAGATGAACGACGGGCCTCCAAAAATGCTACGAGAGTAGCAGCCCTTTTAGGACATCCACGCCAGATTTGACCTACGCCGCGCTAACAGAACATTCATGTGAATCGGACGGCCATGTACGTCAAATCGCGAGGATAGACGGCTCTGGAGTCTAATGACCTGAGAGGGCAGGATTAGTGCTCAGTTTTAATATATCTAAATAGGCTTTTTTTAAGAGAGTACCTAGAACTCAACTAGTTGAGATTTAGTTTGGTTCCATTCACATGATGTCATTGTATTTTGTAGTTAGCATTTTTGTTGCCACCAGCCCGTCATTTTTATATGATTAACTTGCAACCAACCTGGCAACCCCTTCGGCCCAGTTATAATTGTATTGTGGCCCATACAAGTTACGGCCGAGTTACAACACTTGCAGTTGTGGCCCATGCAATTGTCCCAACCTCCC